CGCCGGCCCGCCGAGGGACCCGGTGCCACCGCCGTGCCCGCCACGCGGCGCCGGCACCCCGTGCACCGCCGTGCAAGGAGACACGGCTGCGCCGTGCACGCTTGTGCACGCTCGCTCCTGCGCGCTTGTGCAAGCTTGTGTTAGATCATGCACAATTGTGCACGCTCCTGCGCGCTTGTGCAAGTTTGCATGTGCTCATGCATGCTTGTGCATGTGTGCAAGCCTGTGCAAGATCATGCACAATTGTGCACGCTCCTGCGCGCTTGTGCAAGCTTGCGTGTGCTCGTGCATGCTTGTGCACGTGTGCAAGCCTGTGCAAGATCATGCACAATTGTGCACGCTCCTGCGCGCTTGTGCAAGCTTGCGTGTGCTCGTGCATGCTTGTGCACATTTGTGCAAGATCATGCACGCTTGTGCACGCTCCTGCATGCTTGTGCAAGCTTGTGCATGCTCATGCATGCTTGTGCACATTTGTGCAAGATCATGCATGCTTGTGCACGCTCCTGCATGCTTGTGCAAGCTTGTGCATGCTCATGCATGCTTGTGCACATTTGCGCATGCTTATGCAAGATCATGCATGCTTGTGCACACTCTTGCGCGCTTGTGCAAGCTTGTGTATGGTCATGCATGCTTGTGCACGTTTGTGCAAGCTTGTGCAAGATCATGCACAATTGTGCATGCTCCTGTGCGCTTGTGTAAGCTTGTGTATGCTCGTGCGTGCTTGTGCAGGCTTGTGCAAGTTCATGCATGCTTGTGCACGCTCCTGCGTGCTTGTGTAAGCTTGTGTATGGTCATGCACGCTTGTGCACATGTGTGCAACTTGTGCAAGATCATGCACAATTGTGCACGCTCCTGTGCACTTGTGTATGTTCGTGCATGCTTGTGCACGTTTGTGCAAGCTTGTGTATTGTCATGCATGCTTGTGCACGCCCCTGCGCGCTTGTGCAAGCTTGYGTACGGTCATGCATGCTTGTGCACACTTGTGCAAGCCTGWGTATGCTTGTGCACGCTCCTGCATGCTTGTGCACGCTCCTATAAGCTTGTGGATACTCATGCATGCTTGTCACGCATGTGCACGCTCCTGCGTGCTCATGCACGCTTGTGCAAGCTTGTGCACGTTTGTACATGCTCATGCATGCTTGTGCGAGCAGAGGGAGCACCCCCATGCAATGAGAGTCCTCCCTGACACGGACTCCCACATGTCCCCAAGCAGGGAGCCGGTGTCACCCGCATGGCCCCAGCATCTCCCCAGTAGCCCCAGTCACCGGAAAATCACAGCTTGCAACTCACGGCTGCACCGTAACGGGGGCCCCGCAGCTCTGCCCCCCCCCAACACACAGGAGGGGCAACGCCGCCCCCAACCAACACAAGTGCCACCATCCCCGGGGACAGGCACCAGCTTCTGCCTCCGACCTCGCTCCTGCAGCCGGGCTCCACACAAACCACGTGCACAGCCCCAAAAAGCACCAAAACCAGCCCCGACGGCACCAAAACCAGCCCGGGGACCCCCTCCCGTTTCATCACATAGCAGCCGGGGACATCCCGGGACCCCCGTCCCGCTCCGCAGTGSGATTACGGGCGCCGGCACGGCCTGGCAGAGATAAGCAGCTCAGGGAGCCGGGCTAAAAATACCCGCCGGGTAAAAATACCCGCCGGGACCCGCCGGCACCGCGTCCCCGTCCAGCACGGGACCCCCGGCACGGCTGCGAGTGTCCCCGCTACGTCCCCTCCATCAGCACCCGGAGCTGCAGAGCCCCCCCGGGCGGCAGGGACCCCCGGAGCAGCCCGGAGCCCTGGGGGAAGGGGGTCCCACGCGGTGCCCCCGGCGCGGGGGGTCACTCACCTGCGGCGGGGAGGGCGGCGCGGAGCTGCGCGCGGGACAGGAGCTCCAGGGYGGGCTCGCGGGCGGCCGCGCCGTCTGCGGGGAGATAGACGCCCTCCGCCTCGTATATGGTCTGCAGCATGGCGCGCAGCGCGGGCGCCCGCGGCATGCCCGGCGGGCGCGCGGCGCGCGCGTGTGCAAGGCGGGCACACGCGTGTGCGCGCAAGGGGCGTGCACGGCGGGCGCCGATCGCCCCCGGGGCGCCTGCAAATAAGCCCCGGCACGGGAGGAGCCTGCTATAAATAGGGCGGCGTGCGAGGGGAGCCGGGACGGGGACGCGCGCGGGGACACGGACACGGCTGGGGGGGGGCACGCTGCARCCCCCTCCCCCAGAATACAGCCAAATTGCCAAAAAAAAAAGGGGAAAAAAAAGGGAAAATCAGTGCTCTTCGCTGCCTGGGCCACTGGTGTTTGGTGGCTGCACCCGCTGTATTGGGGTCCCCTGCACCCTGCGGGGCTGGAACCGTCAGGACCCCCCCCCAGGGACCCCTAGACACTAGAAATCCCCCCCAACCACTCCGAATGTCGCCCCCCACATCCCACGGGAGACCCTAATTGCTCGGGACGTTAATCCGCATCAGCGCAGCCAGGAATAAAATCCGGGTTACGCCGAGGGGGATTAACCCGCTGTCCACGGAAAACAGAGCAAGGCGAGAGCCCTTCCCGCTGCCCCCCGAACTGGGACCCCCCCCAAATCCTGCTGCGAACCGGGAACCCCCCAAATCCTGCTGCAAACCGGAACGTGTCCGTCCCCCCCCAAAATCCTGCAGCAGGCGCCCCGGGATCCCCAAAGGGGAGCGCGGCGCCGGGAGCCGCTTCCCGCCGGATCGGCGCCGGGAACGGGCCAGACCGGGGGGGCAGCAACACGGCTCCTGCTCCGGGTTGGGGGGGGGACAACGTGGAGGGCATCCCGGAGCATCCGGCCACCATCCGCACGCCCCCCCCTCCACATTTATTTACCCGCGYGCTAATCCCGGCCTTTTAATAGCCGGGATATTTATGGGCCGGCAGCTCCCCCCCCCGGCGCGGCCCCCCGCCCGCCGGGGCGCTTTGGGGCTTGACGTCAGCGCAGCTATTCCTGGCGCTGCCACCGGGCACCGGGCCACGGGGACGGGCCCCGCCGCGGCCACCGACCCCCAGGCTCCGGCTGCGGAGGACCCCCCCCAAAAAAAATGGGAAAGGGGGGAGCGGGGATACGGAGCCGCTGGGGGACCCCATGGGGAGGCTGAGACCTGCCCAGCTCATCACTGGTGCTGCACGGAGCGGAGCTGCTGGGAGCATGGGGGGCAAAGCGGGGGCTACGGGGTGTCAGGGGGGGCACCCCCGTGTTGCACCCGCTCATTCCAATGGGGAATTAGGGAGGATGGAGCGGACGCGGGGTCTGCGCACGTGGAGCATCACCAGTGCAGCGAGTGCGTGCGGCCTCTGCGCCCGCCTGCTCTTGGGGGGGGCCACGCATGCACGGAACGGACCCCCCCCCCGCCGCGGCGGGGGCACCGCCGGTGTCACCGGTGCCACGAGCGCGCGCGGGCTCGGCCGCGGAGCCGCCTCACCTGCGTCGCTCGGGGAGCTCATGGTGCCGCTGCGGGCCGAGGGGCCCAGGCGTCCGGTGGGGGGGCCCGGGGGGGCCGCGGGCGCTCAGCGCCGCCCGGGCCGCTCGCACATGCCCCCCGGGGGAGCCCTGCGGGAGGCAACGGCGTGAGCGCATCCCGCATCCCGGATGCATCCCGGACACCCGTGCACGGCGGGGGGGCGCAGGGATCCAACAGCCCCCCCCCAACCCCACAAGAGGGGCTCCCT